CCCCTCTGCCCTCTCGCAGCCGCAGCTGCCTGGGACGGTGCCCGTGCCCTGTGCTGCTGCCTTGGCTCAGCCTGTGCGGTTCTGAGCTCCTGCCAGCTGGGCACTCCTGTCACTGCTCTGTGCCTTCCAGGTCCTGGACTGCCTGGACTTGAGTGAATGGGGTAACTTAATACTGGAGATCATGACAAAGCACCTGCAGAGCGAGTCCATGGAGAGGTGTCACCTGGCACTCAAAGGCCTCGTGGTGCTCAGCCAGGACCCCTCGATGGTGAGAAGGAGGCAGCAGCTGGAGCTGTGCTGGCAGCGTGGGGCTGGGGAAAGCAGCCCCTTGGGCTTGGGGAGCTGTGGCAGCTGCTCCCAGCTCTCCAGGGTCGCTGTTCAGCTGCCCGAGTGCTTCGGGACAGGCCTTTGGCCTCTGGGCTCCATGGCAGGCAGGTGGGGTTGCACCGCCGGAGCGGTGTTGGTGGTGCAGCTTTCCATGGATTCACAGCACAACCTTGTGTTCCACATAGGCCAAAAAAATATGCAGCCTGTCTGAACGCCTCGTGGAGCTACTGAGGAATGAAGACACAGAGGTGGTCAAGAGGAGTCTCTCAGTGTTCACAAATCTACTCCTGAACAAAGATATCCAAACATCCAGTTCTACAGCCCCAAAATTGGCTGAGGCGCTCCGGCCCCTCTTTGACCATGTAAGGCTCTGTGCCCCCAGCCTTGGCCACTGGGGGCTGCCCAGAAGTGCGGTGCCCTGTGGATTTTCGGGCCTGTGCACAGAAGGGCCCAGAGAATCCAGTGCTGAGGTTTTTTCCTTTCCAACAGGACAACAGCCATGTGCAGCAGCTCTCCATTCACCTCTATCAAGATGTGATGGAATCAGTAGAGGAAAAGGGAAAGCAGCCGCTGAAGATGCTTGTGAGCCAGAGCCTGCTCCCGCTCTTTTTCCATTGCCATGATGAGAACCAGCGTGTGGCACAGGTGAGGGCTCCTGGGCGCCGGTGTCCCCATGGCAGGGGGCTCAGCTGGCTCGCACACCCTGGCTCCTCCTCGTGGCTCCAGCCGCTCCTGGCCTTGGCACCGGGACGCGGGTCCTGTGCCCGGGGCTGCGGTGCCACCTCCGGGCTCTGCCGCTCCGCAGGCCTCTCGGGAAGCGCTGCTGTCTGCAGTGACCTTCCTGAAGAGGAAGGGTCTCCAGCGGCTGCTGCAGATGGATGAGCTGTGGAGCTTTGGCGAGCACTTGGTAAGGACAGCCCGGCAGCCCCAGCCCCAGGCTGGAGGAGCCACCTGCCCCCGGGAGCGCCCGGCCGAGGGGCAGGGCCCACAGCAACCCTTCCCTCCGTGCCCTGCCGCTCTCTCAGCTGGCAGAGGACAGGAGCCGAGCGGCCGAGCACCTGCGCCGGGCCCTGCCCTACCTGGAGAGCCCGCAGGAGCCCCTGCGAGAGGCGGCCGTCAGGGCTATCGGTGGGTGACAAAGGGGGCTCGGTCCCTCCCTTCCCCATTGCAGCAGCACCAGGGCCAGGGGCCGTGACAGGCTCTGTGTTCCCAGGGATCGCCACGCTGCTCATCAGGGGGCAGCCAGAAGAGCTGCAGCTCATCTGCGAGGGTGAGTCCGGCCAGCGGGCTGGCAGTAGGAGCTGCCAGGGGAAGCCGCCATCCCTGCCCCAGCTGCGGATGGCTGTGCTCCTTGTGTGGATGAGGGGCACCACGGGGAGAGCACGGAGCCCTTTCGGAGGTCTGCCGGAGATTTGTGGCCAGCACCTTCCAGCTGATCCTCGTCGTGTCCTGCTTCCTCCAGGCCATGGCAAGAGCTGGGTGGGCTGGTCCTGTCAGGGCCATTCCTCACTCTGACCGTGGGTCTGCTTGTTTCAGCCCTTCAAGCCCTTCGCATGGATGACAGCCCCTCCAACACAAACCAGATAGTCCAAGTCATGTTAGATGAAAGAGCTGCATCACTAGGTTCATCTTCTGGTTCGAGACAACCAGGACAGCAGCAGATTCCATGAAAGAGGACACATCCCCTAGAGATTAGAAGAGAACAGGTGGAGCTCCAGGCACAGCTGATGCTGGGCACACCTGAGCTTGCCTTCTTCCCTCTTTACTGGTCCCTCCCTGCAGCCCTCAGACCCTGCTTGTTCCCTTCTCCTTCTCCCCAGCTTATCCCTCTGCTTTGATTGCCATTAATAAACATTGCAACTTCACCTTATTTGTATCTTTGTGGAGCTGAAGTGGAGCAAAACCTGAGCCCTGGAGCACACAGGCCAGGGCTTTTCTGCCATTCTTTTTGGTGCTGCATTTTGTGCACGAGGCAGATCATGCTGGAAAGGTCCCTGCCCTGAAGGTCTGGTTTCACAACATTGTGGACCTAAGGGTCTTGCTGAGCACACTGAAGGTCAGCAGTCGAAGACCCTGGATTTTAGAAGAGTCAGCTCCAGTATTTTCTGAATCCGGCTGTGAGGGATTCCGTGGCAAGCATCCACTGAGGGCAAAGGAGCTTGGAATACTGGAAGTTATTCAAGAAAGCACAGCAGTGGTCCTTCCCTACGTAGGGAGAGGAAGAGGGCAGAACCAGAGAGCACCCTGATTTACAGTGAGCTTTGGGTGTTCTAAAAATGAAGCCAATGAAGCAGCAGTTCAGGGGGCTGACACACAACTGTCCCACTGTATGGAGCGCTGTCAGGCAGTGCTGGCATCCTGGCTGCACTTCTGGTCCCCACAGCTGAGGAATCGCAGCTCCTGCCTCATACACAGCCAGAAACCCAACCAAGCGAGACCAGAGCAAGGATACCCTTCCAGCCTCTCTTGGGCATGGCTGCAAAAGAGCTGCTGCTTCTTTCTCCTCCTGTTTGGGGTTTGCTGGTACCAGAGCCAGAGACAGGTCGTGCTCTATTTTCCAAAGACTGTTCAGAGCAGGCATGAAAAGTGCTCCATGAACAGTGGAGAGTCCTGGGAGGTGCTTCCAAGAGCATCTAACCCAAATCTACCCTTTTGCAGTTTAAATAGGTGGTCTTCTCCAGAAAGAGCGAGCTCCTCTGGCTCTTTCTGGCCAAAGCCTACCTGTTCTGCTACCTTTGGGCTACCTAATGTTGGGATAAGGAACTTGCACCAATTCCAGAGTCTGCAGTGACAATAAAGATGCTGACTTTGAGATTGGTAAGTTGGTATGGTGACTATATAAGGCTAAGCTGGAGTCCTAAAACACCTTTGATGCTGTGATGTTTGCTCAGCTGTTGAGAACTTGAGTACAATTGTAGTTTTGCTCTCAGCTCTGGGAATCACAGAATTCCTCCAGAAGTTTGTGTTGGGAAGCATTTGAAAGATCCTGTAGTTCCAATTGCCTGGCTATAGGCAGAGACACATTCCACTAGAATAAATCTAATTAATCCATCTTTACCTTCCCTCGTCCAGATTTTGATCTAATGAGAATACATTAGCTGGTTATATTTTCAGAAATAGGAACAGTTTTTGTTCCTGCATCAAGTCTTCTGGAGCTTTAGGAACAAGTGTGTTCTGTGTCCATGGAACAGCAGAAAGCGGCAGGATGTGTCTGCTTTCAGCGCTTCTCTTGGCTCTTCCTTCACACTGCTGGCACCGTCATCAGAGACACAGAATGGCTTCTCTCATGCCAGCGTTATCCCAATCTTCTGCACTTCCCCAGGTTCCTCCCAGCTTCACCAGGGAAATTCTCTGCTCGTGCCTGTCCACTCCCTTGCCCAGAAGGCAGCACCCGGTGGTCTTTGGACATGAGCTGCTGGCCACAGCATGGACATGCCCATGGATAGGACAGAAGCTGGGCTGGGTTTGGACCACATGGCAGCCGTGCTCCATCCCTGGGGCATCGCGAGGCTCTCCCTGCCTGGTGAGAACAGGGCTGGGCTGTGTTCTCCGGCCTCTCCTGCAGCCCCTCAGGAGCTCTGGCTGCGCTCGCTCTTCACCAGATGCAGCCCTGGACCAGACACAAGAACAGGAGCCCACCCATGGTGGATTGTCAGCTTCCACATTACTTGGTTACACAGAGATAACTGATATGCAGAAAATGCTTTCCCACATGGCCACTGCCTTCATTTACCACGGGCCTTGTGATCCTGACACATAAACAAGCTTCTAGAGCACCCCTGTGAACTAAGACAAGACAATCTGAACAAAAAGAGAGGACAGAGTTGTTCAATGATTTCTCCAAGGCACTGAAAAGCAATATCTGGAGAGATCTGTGAAGAAGGGTGTGTGGATCATGCCAGATTTGCAATACACAAAAAAAATAATGCAAAGACCTAATTTCAGAGACTCAGAGCCAAACTACATGTGTTGAAAACTCAGTTTAAAGTTCATTAAGTGGAGTACCTGGAGAAAGAGTAACAGTACAGTTGCTGATCTTGGATGATTTTTTTTTTTTAAGTCTTAATAACTTTTCCAGGAACTAAGACCACATCTATTAATCCCACAAAACACTAAAGATAACCTTCAACAATAACCCTGATAGGTGCTAACAAGACTGAAAACTCATTTTGCTTAACCTTACTGAGTAGATGTCATGCATCTAATTATGCAGATTCACAGCAGAGAAAATCCTGCTAGGCAGGACAGTACTGGACTGGCACATGTCTTCCAATGCCACAGCTATTAATGCCTATGGAATTGCAGGTTATGTTCTTACTAATAAAAATGTTAACCTTTAGAGAAAAGGCATATAAAGATATTTATGGCTCCTTACCAGCCCCCACCTGATATTATCTGAAAGTTACTCAAGGTTTTAATACCCAAAGACCAATGGTGATATATCAATACATAATTAAATAAGCAAAAAGATATTGAAATATCATTTTACTACTATTTTAAAAGTTCAGTGATTTAAGAAAACTATCACTAGTTATAGAATAAATTTCCAAGGAACCAGAGCAGTTAAATTCTCTACATCAGTTATTTTTTTGTGCGTTTTAATTCCTATTTACAGAAATCATTTGCCCTTTCACCTACATTTTGAATGTCTTTTAATGAGTATATGAATCATTGAACCATCTTGAACAATTCAAAGATAGCATATTAGTTAACCAGCTAATTATTATTATTATGCATATTTTCCCCCAGGTCATGGTCACCAGCTTTACATGCTGGAAAACTCATGACCTCTCACTTCTATTTCTCCCCCATCTTTTTAAAAATCTAAGTGCAAGAAATTACACACATTTATTACATTTCAAAATACTTTCCTACATCTTTTCATATCCTTTTGGTTGTAAGGCCTTTCTTAATTCTGTGTTAAAAGAAGTACAAAATATTTATGTAAAACTGCCTTTAAAAGAAAAGCATTACCATTGCTTAACTTGGGAGGTTTAAGGATGCAAGGTTTAAAAGGAGCATTAAAATCTATTAGGCTCGACAGAGTAGTTAAAAACAACAGATTGTTGGGTGCAGCACCGTTCTTTCAAGTCCAAAATGCAAGCAGCAACTCTCATACTGACTACAGTTAATTCCCTTTTTTTTTTTTTTTAGCTATAAACCCTTCCCTCTGTCTCCAGCATGAATGTCCTGATGTTCAGTCTCTGGGAGCTTCCCTCCCATCCACCCAGGACTACTTCAGGTTTTGTCCTTCCCAGACAAACACTTGTTAAACAAGATCCAGACAAGCAAGGATTAGTACCTTAGAGGAGAGAAACATGCCAAGGTTGTCATGCTGTGCTTGACTCAATGTTTGTTGCTTCTACAGCTTTTGGATCAAGCACCCTCACTGCCTTTTCCTTCTCTGTGTCCTGTGTGATGTTTTGAACCCGAGACTTGCTGTTACCAAAACATAAAAAATATGGAAAAAAACCAGTAAATTCTTCTGGATTATTTTTTTCATTTTACTCATCAATATTCAGCTGTAAATCTATATATCCAACACAGTGGAAATAATTTCCCCTTAAATTGATGCAAAACCCCCCAAACCACAAAAATTCAGAAAAAAACCAAAAAGGATAATTATAGATATCGTGATTATTTGCAATCTTTAATGTGAACACACATCCTATCACACAGTAATGAAAAGGCTCAGACCTTCAGTGGTCAAAAGAGAGATTAAAATCTTTACAGCAATACTGCTTATTTCATAACAGGCCATTATATTGTAGATTTTAATAAATACCACAGAAATAAATAGAAAAGGTAAATAATCAAAACAGTCCATATAGTTTTATTCATTTAGTTCATTAATTCATAGATGGCTAAGTGTTGATTTAATTGCACCTTTATCAATCTTATCAATCTTTATACTGAATGCAGCTTCAGAAAACATAAAATTATCTTTCAATGTAAAATTTTAGAAACGACATATTTACTATATTTCCCTCAAGTTATTTCTTTCGTTGTTTTGAAAAAGAAGTAGAGCCAGAAAAGTCAGACCTAAATCTCTTGCACCAGTATTCTATTTACCAAGATAAATAATTCCCAAAAAATCAAAGCCAGAAATAAGCTGATACCCCAAAATACCCATCCATATCTGTTCAGCAAGACAGTCCCTGAATATTATCTCCAGGCAACAGCATGTGGAAAGAATATATATATATCTCAGGAGCCCCCCAATCATCCTTGCAGAGATTAATTAGTTTTCCCAAAACTGTTTATGATAAAATACTGCAAAATCAGGCTCATGGATTGAATTTCCCAAAATATATAGGATCATAATTCTGCCCTGAAGGAATAGAGTTCCTTATTCCTACAGGGGTCTACCTTGAGTCCTACTGGTTACTTGTCTCCTGACTGCCAGCAGGGGATACAGACTTGTTTTACTAAATTTTGGGTTGTATTCCCCTTAGTAAGGTTCCACGACTCCTGTGGCAACAGGGCTTGTGCAGAGCTCGTGTGCCCCATTCCCACAGAGATCTGGGGGCACCCACACTCACCCAGCTCCGCCAGTAAACAGGTGGTGGGAAAGATAAACACAGCCCAGGGCACATGCAACTTCCTGAAGTCATTATTAGAGAAAACATCCATGCATATGCTGTATCACTGACACACACAGAAACCTAATGCCTTTCAGAGACTCAGTTTTATTTTGTTTGCTTTTTTAATGCACAGAGTGAAATTCTGAAGGTGGGGAGGCAAGAGAAAAATGTAACAAAGCATAGGAAAAGGGACATTTGAATGTATTCATTTGCATATAGAGTTGCTTCCTCCATCTATGGGCCCCTGGGCAGCCAGGATTTCTCTGCCTTGCCAATCAAACCCA